GAAACTCTGTCTCAAAAAAAAAAAAAAGGGTTCACTGGATGGGTGAGGTGGCTCATGCCTGTAATCCCAGCACTTTGGGAGGCTGAGGCGGGTGGATCACCTGAGGTCAGGAGTTCAAGACCAGCCTGGCCAATACAGTAAAAACCTATCTCGACTAATAATACAAAAATTAGCCAGGCACAGTGGCTCACGCCTGTAATGCCAGCAGTTTGGGAGGCCATGGCAGGTGGATCATCTGAGGTTAGGAGTTTAAGACCAGCCTGGCCAATATGGTGAAACCCCATCTCTACTAATAATACAAAAATTAGCTGGGTATTGGGATGCACACATGTAATCCCAGCATTTTGGGAGACCAAGGCAGGTAGATTACCTGAGGTTAGGAGTTCAAAACCAGCCTGGCCAATATGGTGAAACCCTATCTCTACTAATAATACAAAAATTAGCCGGGCATGGTGGCACATGCCTGTAATCCCAGCTACTCAGGAGGCTGAGGCAGGAGAATGCTTGAACATGGGAGGCAGAGACTGCAGTGAGCTGAGACTGCGCCACGGCACTCCAGCCTGAAGGAGAGAGCAAAGCTTCATCTCAAAAGGCCGGGCGCGGTGGCTCAAGCCTGTAATCCCAGCACTTTGGGAGGCTGAGGCAGGTGGATCACGAGGTCAAGAGATCAAGACCATCCTGGTCAACATGGTGAAACCCCGTCTCTACTAAAAATACAAAAAATTAGCTGGGCATGGTGGTGCCTGCCTGTAATACCAGCTACTCAGGAGGCTGAGGCAGGAGAACTGCCTGAATCCAGGAGGCGGAGGTTGCGGTGAGCAGAGATCGCACCATTGCACTCCAGCCTGGGTAGCAACACTGAAACTCCGTCTCAAAAAAAAAAGAAAAAAAAAAAAAAAAAAACCTTCATCTCAAAAAAAAGCAGGGGGCGGGATCACTGCTGTTGGTTAGCCAGCAGCTCTATGAGCCTCTGTCACATTGTCACATTCAAGATGTGTCAAAAAAAACTGTCTACTAGGCCATGAAGCCATGAAGGGTAGCATTAGGTCCAATATGTGTTGATTCATGTTCACGCAGATTCCTTTCTGCTTGTGGAAGTTGGTTAATTTTTCTGGTTATGATATGAATATTGTTACATTTTCCTTGATAGTGTATCATCTGCTTGATGATTTTGCATCTCAGCATTATACCCCCCTTCTCCCAGCAGCCAGGGCCTCCCAGTCTTCCTCAGCCACACCAGGGTTCACTGCAACCTCTACTCAGCTGGACAGGGTGCAGCCATCTTTCAAGAAATCTAGATTTTGAAGCAAAATTTCCGAGCAAAACTTTCACAGGGACTTTCTGACATAATTTGACCAGGTCATGGTTGTTTTTTTCTCTGTCTTCCAGTCTGCGTGGTTCCTGGCCTGCTGTCAGAGCATGATTTAAGAGGGTTGTTTGCTTAGCATGAGTGGAGGCCCCCACAGGCTACTTCCCACCCCAGGGGGACTTGCGGGCAGCATGGGGGGGTCGAGGGGAGCTACTGAACCGTGGACATCAGACCAGTCCATGTGCAGGCCAGGAGAGGGCACAAACTTCACAGCACAGCGAAACTCCACTAGTTTCTTCAGAAGTCTTTGACAGGAGCTTTCATTTTCATAGTTTTGCTTCCTCTATTCTTGGCTTGTACAGTGACCTCAATGTCCCCTGACCATGGAATCACATGCCAGTATCTACTCTGGAGTTTGAGCTTTTCGAATCCCCTACTCTTTGGCAATAGCTGGTTTGTGGCCTTTGTCAGCAGTGGGCAACAGTCTTCCTGCCACTTTCCAGTCATGTCCACGTGATTCCAATCTAAAATAGATTTTTTGGGGAGCCCTTGATGGTTACCTCCAACAGAAGAAGCTATGCTAGGCAGATTCTCCTGAGACAGGCCGTTATATGCTAGGAAGAGCCTTTGTTGAGTACTTTTAGCATTTACAAAGCCTCTCCAAAGTCAGTCTTTCATTTCACCCGCCCAGCAATGTCGGGGGTGGGTGTTTCAAGTCCATTTTACAGATGAGAAGATCTGCCGCTGAGTGGGAGAATGGTGGGGTAGGAAGTGTGGTTAAGGAAGAGAACCAGCATTTATGAAGTATCTTTCTGGGGCTAACACGGTGCTGGGTGCTTTATATATGTTTGATCCTTTAACACACTTCTGAAGCTTGTAGCATTTTCATGCTATTTTCTTTTTTAGGTGAGATAATAGCTGAGGCTCAAATAGGCACAGCAGTAAATGGACGAGCAGAACTAAAACAATGCTATCTCATGGTTTGTGCTTATGCCCATCACTACTTAATCAGTTATCTTGTTCTGAGCAGCATTTTACCTCCAAACTTAGTGGTTTAAAACAACTACAGTCATGTATGATCTCACAGTTTCTGTGAATCAGGGATTTGGGAGCAGTGAAGCTGGGCTGTTCTGACCTATGGTCTCTGACGGAATCACTGTGAGGTGTCCACTAGGGGGCGCTGTCATCTGAAGACTTGACAGGCTGGTGCATCTGCTTTTGAGGTGGCTCCCTTGCATGGCCAGCAAGTTGGCGCTGCCTCTTGGCAGGAGGCCTGTTTCCCTTCATCTGACCTGCTTGAGCACCCTCTCCACATAGTGCTGGCTTCTCCCAGAGTGAGTGACACAAAAGAGAGCAAGGCAAAAGCTGCAATGCCTTTTAGGACCTTGCCTTGGACACCACACAGTCACTTCTGCAATATCCCTCCCAGTGGTTATACGGGTCAGCCCTGTGCAGTACAGGAGGGTCAGCAGATGTTAAGGTCACTGTGCAGGAAAGGGTTCAGAGAGGAAGCTCAGGTGTGTGACCACCAGGAGCAGGGATTGCTGGAGCTGTCTTAAAGGCTAAGTATAACACTGAAATACAACACTGCTCACCCAGCCAACGAAAATGGATGTCAGCATTGGCTGCTGAAGAACGCTCCTTACAGGAATAGCATTTTCATAGTGTTAACTGGGTTCCAGGATCTGACAGTGTGACGCTTTTTAGGTGTTCCTAATTGTATAATCAAAATTGGACTCAGGGGTTTCTTCCCACCAATAATGTGAACATTGGAAAGGATTAACATAAAGAGATAAGATTTGGATTTTGGAGTATTCCATGAATTAGAAATTTTAAGCATTCAGTATATGTTTAAAAAAAAAAAAAAAAAAAAAGATTTCCCCCTTTGAGTCCAGGAGTTTGAGGGCAACCTGGGCAACACAGCAAGAACCTACCTCTACAAAAAATAAAAATAAAATTAGTTGGGTGTGGTGGTGTGTGCCTGTAGTCCCAGTTACTCGGGAGGGTGAAGCGGGAGGATTGCTTGAGCTGAGGATGTCAAGGCTGCAGTGAGCTATGATGGTGCTTGTGCGCTGTAGCTTGGGTGACAGAGTAAGACTGTGTCTCAAAAAAAAAGCTGGGCACGGTGGCTCACGCCTGTAATCCCAGCACTTTGGGAGGCTGAGGTGGGTAGATTACCTGAGGTCAGGAGTTTGAGGCCAGCTTGGGGAACATGGTAAAACCCGGCCTCTATGGAAAATACACAGATCAGCTGGGTGTGGTGGCATGCACCTGTAATCGCAGCTACTTCGGAGGCTAAGGCAGGAGAATTGGCTCGAATCCGCGAGGCAGAGGTTGCAGCGAGCTAGATCGCACCACTGCACTGCAGCCTGGGTGACAGACTGAGACTCCTTCTCAAAAAAAAAAAAAAAAAAATTCCCAACATAGCTTAAACTAAGATTATCACACTTAAAAAGTAACAATTCTTTGACATCATCTAATACTCAATCCAGGTAGATGCCTAATGTCCTTTTCAGTTAGTTTACATAGAACCAAGCATTGCACCCAGTTGCTGTCTCTTAAGTTTCTTTTTGACTCAAAATTAGACCCTTTCATCATCACTGATCCCGGCACCAAGAGTTGTGCAGCATGCCCCACTTTGTGGGCTTGCCTAGTTGCTTCCTGTTGTGAAGCTTAGTCTGTTCCTCCACACCTAAATTTCCTATAGTGGAAAGGTAGATTGAAAATAACTCATTAGCTGTAATTAATCACAGGAGATGTACTTCATGTTTCCATGAATCGAGACACAGGGTGCTGGCTGTCCTTCCATTAGTGTTGCTTACAATAACTCCTGGATTCGAGGGGGACACCTTGATCTCCCCATTGGACAGTTTTTTTCCTGCTTGTGGCCAGAAATATATATATATATTATATATATATATTTTTTTTTGAGACGGAGTTTCACTCATGTTACCCAGGCTGGAGTGCAATGGCGCGATCTCGGCTCACCGCAACCTCCACCTCCTGGGTTCAGGCAATTCTCCTGCCTCAGCCTCCTGAGTAGATGGGATTACAGGCACATGCCACCATGCCCAGCTAATTTTTTGTATTTTTAGTAGAGACGGGGTTTCACCTTGTTGACCAGGATGGTTTCGATCTCTTGACCTCGTGATCCACCCGCCTCGGCCTCCCAAAGTGCTGGGATTACAGGCGTGAGCCACCGCGCCCAGTCCTTTTTTTTTTTTTTTTTTTCTTTTTTTTTAAGTTGGAGTTGTTGTCCAGGTTGGAGACTGGAGTGCAATGGCGTGGTCTCGGCTTACCGCAACCTCTGCCTCCCGCGTTCAAGCGAATCTCCCGCCTCAGCCTCCCGAGTAGCTGGGATGACAAGCGCCCACCACCATACCCAGCTAGGTTTTTGTATTTTTAGTAGAGACCGGCTTTCCCCATGTTGGTCAGGCCAGTCTCGAACTCCCGACCTCGGTGATCTGCCCGCCTCGGCCTCCCAAAGGGCGGGGGTTAGAGGTGTGAGCCACGGCGCCCGGCTGTTTTTCCCATCAGTAGCATATATTTACGGTTGTCAGTTACACGGAATGCACCTGTGATCAGACACAGCAGGAGGGCTCCGCGAAGCCTACTTTACATTTCAGCAGCAGTTTCGTCAGTAATGTAAATTGAGGAATACAGAAGCCTCACCGACAGGTTTCTTTCTCACCTTTTTGTAAGGAGCCTCAAGCATTGCTTCTGTATCAACGTCGTCTGCCATGTTCTCTACACGCCTGTGCCGGCTTTCGGGCACCTGTGGGGCCGACGTTGGGGAAGAGACCGCTGCCGCTGCTGCTACTGCCGCCGCTGCTGTGGCTACCGTTCAGCCGCAGGCGCCGTGGCGCGTCGGGCTCCGAGGACCGTTAGGCCAGCGCGAGCCGAAATCTCGCGAGACGGCGCGAGTCTCTAGGGCAAAGGCAGTTGGTGGACGGCCTGTCAATCAGAGGGCGCCTGGCCGTGTGGAGGTCCGCGTTGGCCTCCCGCTCGTGGCGCCCCCTCACGGCCCCAGAAAGTAATATTTGAACGTTCCCTGGGCGTTGTACACATGTCCGGTTCCCTGTTCACAGGTCACGTCGTCATTTCTTTCTTTCTTTTTTTCTTTTTTTTTTTTGAGACGAGGTCTCGCGCTATCACCAGGCTGGAGTGCAGTGGCGTGGTCTCGGCCCACTGCAACCTCCGCCTTCCCTGGGTTCGATCGATTCTCCTGCCTCGGCCTCCTGCGTAGCGGAGACTCCAGGCACGCGCCACCGCAGCCGGCTCATTTCTGTATGATTAGTAGAGCCGGGGTTTACGCCATGTTCACCAGGATCGGCTCATCTCTTGGCCTTGTGACCTGCCCGCCTTGGCCTCCCAAAGTGCTGGGATTACAGGCGTGAGCCGCGGCGCCCGGCCAGCGTTCCCATTTCACAGTTAAACCGAGCCAGGTCCTGAGAGGCTGGGGGCGGGTCAGGACTCAGGGCAGAGACCCAGGTTGAGCCGCTCCCAGCGCTGTCTCCCGCATCTTACAGCAACGACCTCCCACGGTTCCCGCTCTGAAATACAGTCCAGCTTGTCTTTTTTTTTTTTCCTCTACCCCAATCCGGTTGGGGACAGTTTGGACCCACCACTACCCTGCTGACGCCCCTGAGCCCTGCATTTTTGCTTACTACACAAATATGCACTGCTCACCAAACAACGAAAAGAGAAGCCACTGTGCTTACTAGACTTTTGAGACAGGGTCTCTGCCCGTCCCCAGGCTTGAACGCAGGGGTGTGGTCATGGCGCATGGCAGCCTGCACCTCCCAGGCTCAGCAGTCCTCCCACCTAAGCCCCGGGAGTAGCTGGGACTACAGATGCCCGCCACCATGCCCGGCTAATTTTATTCATGTTTTGCAGAGATGGGGTCTCGTTAGGTTGCCCAGGGTGGCTGGCTGGACTGTTGAGCCAAGGAAACGAGCGGATCCCATCACCTGAAGGGACCACGTGTCCTTGAATAATGGACAGCCACCGCTTCTGCACTATCTATCCACCGTATGGGGGTTTGACAGGCCTCTCCAGGCCTGGATCTGCGTCTAATGTAGGGTTCAAGTCACGCAGGCCCGTGGGCCCCTGGAAGTCACCACAGAGCGCTTCTCCACGAAGCGCTTCGCAGGCGTTCCTTGCAGCGGCTGCGGGGCCTGGCGGCGCCCTCCGTTAATGCCGGCAGCGCCACCAAGCGGCCAGTTGGGAAAGAGCCGCCACCTCACTCCAGCGAAGCGGGGACCAGGGGCGGGTGGGGAGCGCCCCGCTTCGGTCGCGATCGGGTGGACACCATCCCAGCGGGGAGGAGCCAAGATCTTTCTCTAGGTTTCACTCCGGTATCCAAGACCCCAAGAGTTCCTGCTCAGATGGCGCTGAACCCATGTCTGGGGCTTGTATGTGTTCTCACAGGTCTGACCTTGAGAGGGTGGAATGTACCTGCAAGGCAAGCACTGTCAAGAGGTGACTATCTCCTGGGGATGTCGTCGGGGTATTCACATGTATGACTGAGGAGAGGATGGAAATGGGAGTGGGAAGAGAAAGGGGACGGACCATCATTTTTACTTTTTTTTTTTTTTTTGAGACGGAGTTTCACTCTGTCAACCAGGCTGGAATATAGTGGCGTGATCTCGGGCACACACCACCATGCCTGGCTAGTTTTTGGTATTTGTAGTAGAGACGGGGTTTCACCATTTCGGTCAGGCTGGTCTTGAACTCCTGACCTCAGGTAATCCACCCACCTGGGCTTCCCAAAGTGCTGGGATTACAGGCATGAGCTACCTCGCCCAGCCCATTTTTACTCTTGTTCCAGGCTCTCCAAATGTTAGGGACAGGCCTGGGAAGATAGGCATGGGGACTGAGAGGTGGGGTGTCATTGCAATTTTAAATAGAATGGCCTTTCACTAAAGAGGAGGAGGAAAGGAGTGGCATGTGTGGCTATCACTGAAAGTGTCCTCCAGGCCCAGGAAAACAGTGCGAAGGTGCAGAGGCAGCCCTGTGCCTGGCACACCCGGGAAAAGTAAACCTGGGTACTCCCCAGGCGCCGCGGCCCAGGGGACCTGCCACATCTGTGTTTGTGCAAAACCTAAAAGAAATAGGCCCTCCATCAATGTTGGGTTGAATGAATGAATGGTCTCACCTCCTGGAGGAGCCGCTCCCAACAGCACACAGCTGCCTCTTCTTCCCGGCTCTGTGCCAAGGGGCGTTTCCACTTTGCTTTGATCCTGATGACCAGGCACTGCTATTCTTCAGGCCAGGATTTCCCCAATCCTTGCTGTTTTGAAAACTACATTCCGGTTCCCTTGAAACTCTGTCCTTATCACCTCCATTTTCCTATTTTCATCTCCCGCTCCTCGGCACCCTCCGTCTCCCCACGGTGTCCCCATGACACTGCCTGCATGCCGGTTGACCCCAGCCTGGGAGCTTCTCAGGGACGCCCAGGCCAGACATGGCTGCAGACAGAGCTGAGAGGGCAGCCTCGGGTGGGTGGTGGCAGCCTCCAGGCTGTGGGGGTGGAAGTGAGGGCCTGGGAGGTGGCAGCTCAGGCCTACAGAAGGACAGAGTCGGAGCTCGGAGATGTGACCTGATAGGTCTCAGCCATGGGAAGGAGTTTGGGGATTTACCCAGATAATCAAAAAAGACCAAAAAAAAAAAAAAAAAAAAAAAAGACCTATTTTTGGGGACAGGTCATAAAGTTTTGACCTCACATAGAGCCTGGGTCTCAGATTTTCTGTGGGTGGCTTCTCAGGTTCCCTGCTACTGCTCTGGGCACCTTCTATCCTCAGAGACAGAAGGGCTCCCCAGGAGGGGACAGTGCATGGTGGCCCCCTTTTAGTGAACACGGATACAGCTCTCCACTTTTGAGGCTGCCATCTCCTGCCCCGTTGGCACACGCTGCCCTCCCTCCTGCCCTTCCTGCCCTCCTCTGCATCTGCTCAGCTATAGGCCTGAGCACAGGTGGCCTTGCCCAGGAAGTTTGTCCTGGCCAGCAGGCCCCACCTCCTAATTCTAGGTTCTGTTAATGGGCCCCCCTGGTGAGTGATGCAAAGCCAGTCTTCTACTTTGTTTGTTTTCTTTCTCAAACATTTTCAGGCTGGGCACAGTGGCTCATGCCTGTAATCCTAGCACTTTGGGAAGCTGAGGTGGGCGGATCACCTGAGCTGAAGAGTTCGAGACTAGCTTGTCCAACATGGCGAATCCCCAGCTCTACCAAAAAAAAAAAAAAAAAAA